TGTTATGCAGATGAAGAGATTCCATAATTGCGTGCCTGATTATCCCAGCAGTGACTCAGAAATGAAAGGGGGCAGTCAGCACTTCAACTGCTAAGCACAAGGCCCAGGTCAGGGGAATGTCAAAAGAGCCCTGAGGCAGGATGGGACCAGTGGCCCTCCCCGCCCTGCGTTCTGTTCTCGCAGTGGCCAGTGAGATGCCCATTATGGGAAACCCACAAGCAGGGCCCAAGCGCCAGAGAGTGCCCTCTCCCCTCCTGCTCTTTCCAGCTGGTTCTCCACCTGTGGGTCCCCAGATGTCGTTGGACCACAACCTTTTGGGAAGGCCTTGTTGGCCTTTAGTTGGGCTGGATCCAGAACTTGGCACGGCTGAGAGAAGCATGTCCTGAGTGTTTTTATAGGGATGGGAGCCATGCAGTCCTCTAACTGCCATCAGCCGTGGCCAGCCTGGTCAGGGACTATGGGAGCGGTGTGTCCAGCAATGTTTGGAGGGCACCAGGCCTTCCAGAACTGCTTTACAGAGGACACAAGGGCAGGTCCCTGCCCCAAGGACCCTGCAGCCTAAAATTCTACCCAGGTGGGATGCAGCAGGAAGCAATATGTTGTTGTTGTTTTCAGTTACAGGTGGTTAGGCTCGGTTGTATCCCCTGGGAACTGTGTGCAAGCCTTAGGGTGAGGTGCCACTGAAGCCAGGCTGTCCACAGTTGTCTGCAAGACCCCTGGGGGAAGGAGATGTGTCTTGAGACATTGGCGGACACTTGAGGGCCTTTTGACAGCGAATCTGGGCCCTGAAGGAGGGCTGCCCCTCATGGTGCCCCCATCTCCAACATTGCTGCTGGATGCCTTGAGAGTCTACAAAATGAGAGCTTGCCACTGTCAGGAGTTCAGCCTACACTCGAGTAGGACCCTGGCAGAGACACATGCCTGACTGGCATGTTCTCCCCCTCCTGGTCTTTTGTTCGGGAGCTTCATAAGCTTTCTTCAGCCCGAACATCACAGCGACCGATGCCAACCCACATCGGCACACTTAGGGATCCGCAGAGTCTTTGCAGACCTCAGGAACTCAGCATTTTTGGCTAATCTACACTGGTACCTCGGGTTAAGTACTTAATTTGTTCTGGAGGTCCGTTCTTAACCTGGAACTGTTCTTAACCTGAAGCACCACTTTAGCTAATGGGGCCTCCTGCTGCCGCCGCGCTGCCAGAGCACGATTTCTGTTCTCATCCTGAAGCAAAGTTCTTAACCCGAGGTTAAGCGGAGTATGCAACCTGAAGCGTATGTAACCCGAGGTACCACTGTATTTTATTTACATACAGTATAAACACACACGGAGCACTGCAACATGGCTCCTTCCCTCTCTAGCATCAGACAGCAAAGAGAAAAAGAACAAAGGACAATAGTCCCACTTCATGGAACACAGTGACACAAACATCCTGCCACCGTCACTTCCCACTCTGTGGAGTCAAAACATATACCGTCATGTGATAAACAATCCCATGACTGCAATCATAGATCAGGAATTCTAACAGCCACTTCTCCAGAGAAGGTTCTAGGAAGGGATCTCGAGGAAAAGCAGATTTGCAAAAAGGCTCCCGGGGGAGGGCAATAGCTCAGTGGAAGAGCTTCCGCTTTGCGTGCAGGAGGGCCTGGGTTCAATCCTCAGCAGCATCTCCAGGTAGGTAGGCCTGGGAGGGAGCTAAATATCTCCTGCCGTGGAGAGCCATGGCTGCCAGTACGTGTAGACAGTACTGATCCTTTTTTTAAGAATCCCCCCCAATGCTTTATTAATTTTAAAAACATAACATTATGTTTTATTAATTATTAATTTTTAAAATTCATTAATTTTAAAAACATAACATTACAAAACAAATACAAAACAAAACAAGATGCATCAAGCCACAAAGGGCAATCCAGTAATTAATACTCCCTACACCATACGTACATACCGAAAAAGAAAAGATTAAGTTCATCCATCGCTAATTCTAACGTAACTTCCGGTCCCCCCCACTGTGGTTCCTAAATTTCATTACGCTGCCCACTTAACTTTTCTCTCCTAAGTTCTTCTGTTATTTTAATTCTGTAATGATTTCTTAATTCATGCAGAAATCAATCCAGGCCTGCCAAAGAATTTATGTTATTACAATGTTTGTTTAAATATTCTCTGTAGATATTCCACTCTTTATTAAATACTTGATCTGTATGGTCTCAGAATCTTGCTAGTTCTGCATATTCTAGCATTTTATTTTGCCAGTCTAATTTTGAGGGAATAGAATCTCCTTTCCATACTTTAGCAATTAGAATCCTAGCTGCTGTTACCGCATACATAAAGATTTTCCTTACCTGTTTAGGGATTTCATTGCTCATTATGTCTAGCAAGAAGGCTTCGGGCCTCTTTGGGAAGGAACATTTAAACAATTTTTTTAAGTTCATTGTAGATTGTTTCCCAAAATTCCCTGATTTTTGTGCCGTTCCACCACACGTGGATCATGGTGCCTTCCGCCTCCTTGCATCTCCAACAGATGTTTAATCTAGATTTATACATTTTGGACAGTTTTACAGGTGTTAAGTACCATCTGTAGAGCATCTTCATGAAATTCTCTTTCAAATCATAGCACACTGTGAATTTTAGGTCCTCCTTCCACAACCTCTCCCATGATTCCATCTGGATGTTGTGCCCAAAATCTCTGGCCCATTGTACCATGACAGATTTTACTTCTTCCTCCCTGACCTCCCAGTCAAGGAGGCACCTGTACACGTTAGAGAGTGTTTGTGTGTGTGTGTTTATTAAACAGTAATAGTAATAATAATAATAATAATAATAATAATAATAATAATTTGTACCCCACCCTCCCTGGCCAGAGCCGGATTCAGGGCAGCTAACACCAGTAAAATTACAATAAAAACGTAATGGGGGGGACCGACCAATTTAAAATGCAATTTAAAATGCAGCCTCATTTTAAAAGTAGCCCATAGATCAAAACCGTAAGGGGAGGGAAATGTAAGGGTCAGACTGAGACCAAACCAAAGGCCAGGCAAAACAACTCTGTCTTGCAGACCCTACGGAAAGATGTCAAGTCCCGCAGGGCCCTAGTTTCTTGTGACAGAGCGTTCCACCAAGTCGGGGCTAGTACTGAAAAGGCCCTGGCCCTAGTTGAGACCAATCTAACCACCTTGCGACTTGGGACCTCCAAAATGTTGTCATTTGTGGACCTTAAGGTCCTCCATGGTGCATACCAGGAGAGGTGGTCCTGTAGGTACGTGGAAATCTTGAAATTTCTGTGGAAAAGCCTTTCTGTTTGTCCTTTTGGAATGTTTCATTTAACTGAAAATACTGCAACCAATCAGTCAAATGTGTCTGAATTGCTTCAAATTTCTTTAATTTTAGCTTATTTTCTTTTTCTTCCAATAAGTCTTTATAAGTTGCCCAATTACTTCTCTCATGCTGTTTTTTTAAACTGAGAACGCTTCTGCCGGGGACAGCCACCATGGCGTTTTTGGTTCTAGTAAGTCCTTATATTTGGCCCGCACCATGTAAAGCAATTTCCTGATCACGTGGTTCAAAAACCCTTTGTGGACCTTCTCATATCCCAGATGGGCATGCCAGCCGTATCTGTTATTGAATCCTTCTAGATCCAGCAAGTCGGTGTTTTTTAACGTGAGCCATTCCCAAATCCAGGCGAGACAAACTGCATCGTGATACAATTTCAGATCTGAAATAGACAGTACTGATCTAGGTGGGTGAGTGAAGCAGCTTCCTCCATCCCTATTTAAACCAGCCCTTTCTTCAGAACCCTGAGGACTGAAATCTCACTGTTGTTTTTAAGGGAAATGCTGTAGTTTTGCAGGAGAGCACCTGCTTCACCTGCAGGAGGTCCCAGGTTCAATCCCAGGTTCAGTGAGTGGCATCTCCATGCAGTGCTTGGAATGTGCTTTGCCTGAGGCTCTGGAGTGCTGCTGTCCTTCAGTGCCAGCAAACTCCAGCTTCATTGGAGTTCTCTTGTTTTGAGAGAGGGAGAAAACTTTCTCTTTCCTTTGTGCCTTCCATCATTTTATACACTTCTGCCACGCTGCCTCTTACTCACCTTTTCTCCAAATCAAAAAGTCCCCAGTGCTGCAGCCTCCATCCGTTGCTCCATCCTCCCCTTGGTCATTCTGACGGCCCTTTTCTGAACCTTTTCTAATGTGTGGGAATGCTCAGGGATGCAGGAGAGGATATATTGTCTGATAATAGCCTTTCCAACATGTGTTAACAAGTTCACAATTTAGCAGAGTAACATTCTCCCTTTTAAACTTGCAGCGGATGCATTTGCTCAGGCTCGCTAAAACCTCTATAATAACTGTTCTGGTATTTCCCCTTATTCCCTCATAAAAGATAAGGCACGACACAGTCTTCTATAAAAGTATAAAGAGAGTTTACTCACATATCATTCTGTTCACAATAGGATTCCAGAAGGCATACTTAGCTTAGAAAAGTAACATATACCTGGAAACTATCTCATAAGAAAACAGTCCCTTTGTCATCTCTTGGCTGGAAGCCAAGAGGGCATCTTTGGCTAAGCAGATGTTGCTTCTTCGATGCATGTAGTCAAAAGGCTGCCCTGCCCTGATGGCTGCCCTGCCCTGTGCTTTTGTCATTACCTGCTCAGGTGAGGCCACACCCACCTCTAGTCACATGCAAAGGAAGTCTGTCCCAGCCCAGAAGGAAACAGGAAGTTTACCTGCAGGCTGAACAAATATTCCTCCCCATGTGTAAACATGTTCACTCTAGGAATGTTGTACTTGACTGCTTTTGTGTTTCACATCCCACACAATGCCCCCCCCCCTTAATGGGAAAAGTGCTTATAAACACATACATACAAAAAAACCCCAAACAGCTGTAGTTCTTTAACACGATCAGCGGCCACAAGAGCAACTAAAATGGTTATATCCACTGATCTGACACATAAAGACACCTGCACTTAAGTTATTTCGGGGGGAGACCCTTATATCAACTTATATGCCAAATGATCTTACGCCTTCACAACAAATCAGGTTTGGATGGTCTTTCAGAATTAAGGGCAGAATCTTAATGTTTAAGGGTATCAGAAGACAGTGTCCAGAGGTCCAACATTTTTGAAACAATGACCATTTTCTTCATGGTTTCAGCCAACCCACAGTGGAGGAGCTACAAGTACAACTCCATCTCCTCAGACAAACAGCATCGGAATACAGTGGTACCTCGGGTTACATAAGCTTCAGGTTACATACGCTTCAGGTTACAGACTCCGCTAACCAAGAAATAGTACCTCGGGTTAAGAACTTTGCTTCAGGATGAGAACAGAAATTGTGCTCTGGCGGTGCGGCGACACCAGGAGGCCCCATTAGCTAAAGTGGTGCTTCAGGTTAAGAACAGTTTCAGGTTAAGAACAGACCTCCAGAATGAATTAAGTACTTAACCCGAGGTACCACTGTATTCCTTTTGGTAGATTTATAAATCTCTTCATAGGTTTCTTCATCCATTTCTATTGTTGTCACAGTCTCCTCAACATCACCCAAAATCTTATTTAAGTGCTGGTAACAAGCAAATAATCTGCCTCGAAGTTTTCGGTCATTTCTCATTTTTACATCAATTCGTTCATCAAGACTAAGCTTGATGAGATCCAAGGGCTCTTCTACAGTATTTGTGGTTTGTTGCTGCTCCACCTCGTCCGCCATTTTTTCAAAGCCCCTCCAATGCTCTTTTGGAGGTGAGGCCAGAATTCTGTGGTTCTAGGCTGAGTGTTGGAAGTGAGAGGGAGGGAGGAGAGATTTTGGCGACACCCCAGAGGGCCCGCTGTGTCTTCCCAGTTAGCCTTGAAAAGGCCCTGTCTCATCTCCCCCTTGTGAGCGTGGCAAGAATAGGAGGAACAGGTGGCCGCCCACCATTGAGCTAAAGCTGTTGAGCAGATTGATTTATTGCTCAGATAAGCCTGACGTCCGGCACGCTTCCAACCGCGCAGCTCTTCCTGGCCAGGCCTCTGCATTCCAAAGTCCACATTCCGATTCTCTGAGCAAAGCAGAGATCTGCAGCGGCAAGAGAAAGACTGCAAAAAACTCCAGAGCATTCTTCAGTGTGCTTAAATAAAGTCCACTCAGGATCTTAGCAGCTAAAAGCAGTTTTATTTACAGCAGACTATCCATTATCTATCACAGCGAACAGCATCGTGAAAACACGTCCTCTCTCCTCAAAAGCGAAAGTAGAGAGAACAAAGGCTTGAGGCTCTCGGAAATGACGCAGAAGTTCCCCCCTCCCAACAGTAGGCAGGGCGTACACTCTGAGCTGTTTAACCCTGTAAGCTCAGGTTCTCCTCACAAAAGCCCCCTCCCACTGCTGTTGCTTGGCCCCTGCCCTCCCCCAGTGGCCCCCCTCCATGCCCCACAGATGAAGTCAGGCCCAAGGAAGGAAGTTTGCATTGGCAGCTTTTGCCGAGTTTTCAAGAGCAGTGTGCATAGAGCAGGCACATTTTCAGGCAGGTGGGCGACAGCTTAAGAGGGATGTGCTTATCACTGCACCTTCACACCCGTCTCTCTCTCTCTTTTTTTTTAATGATATTTATTCCAAATTTAAAGTTACAAAAAAGAAAAAGAAAAACCATACAAAATACAAAAAAGACTTTAACCATAACAAAGCGAAAAATAAAAAGATAAAAGTGAACAATAAAATAGAATAAAAAAGACGACTTAACAAAAAATATAAAAATGCATTAAGTTAAAATAAAACAAAAACAGATTAAACCTTTACATAGCCTTTTCCCTTTACTTATTTCCATGACCTCCTCTCACCTCCCAATTTTGTATTCTAGTTCAGATCGTATTTCCAGCAAATCCTTCTAACCTTATTTTCATTTACGTATTTTAAAATTAAAATAATGTAATTAAACCTCCTCTGTTTCATCAATTTCATCAACTCATTTTTGCTTAATCCTTTATATCATATCTACCAAAACGACCTAATTTTCTTTTTCCAACCTCTTTCTAACAGTCTTTTATATTGCAGTATTTTTGAAGGTATATTTTGAATTTTTTCCAATCTTCTTCCATCGACCCTTCTCCCTGGTCTCGAATTCTGCCGGTCATCTCAGCCAGTTCCATGTAGTCCATCACTTTCATCTGCCATTCTTCTCGGGTGGGCAATTCTTGTGTCTTCCAGTACTTCCCGATGAGTATTCTTGCTGCTGTTGTAGCATACATAAAAAAAGTTCTATCCTCCCTTCGCACCAATTGGCCGACCATGCCCAGAAGAAAGGCCTCTGGTTTCTTCAGAAAGGTATATTTAAATACCTTTTTCAATTCATTATATATCATTTCCCAGAAAGCCTTAATCCTTGGGCATGTCCACCAAAGGTGAAAAAATGTGCCCTCAGTCTCTTTACATTTCCAACATTTACTATCTGGCAAATGATAGATTTTTGCTAGCTTGACTGGGGTTAAGTACCACCTGTAAATCATTTTCATTATATTTTCTCTTAAGGCATTACAAGCCGTAAATTTCATACCTGTGGTCCATAACTGTTCCCAGTCAGCAAACATAATGTTATGTCCAAAGTCTTGTGCCCATTTAATCATAACAGATTTAACCGTTTCATCCTGTGTATTCCATTTCAACAGCAAGTTATACATTCTTGATAAATTCTTAGTTTTAGGATCTAACAATTCTGTTTCCAATTTTGATTTTTCCTCCTGGAAGCCAATCTTCTTATCTAAATTATAAGCCTCCCTTATTTGATAATAATGAAGCCAGTCTCGAACTTTAGTTTTTAATTTGTCAAAGCTCTGCAGCTTTAATCTATCTCCATCTTGTTCTAAAATTTCACAATATTTTGGCCAATTTGTCTCCATATTGATTTTCAGAGCCTTAGCCTCCATTGGTGACAGCCACCTTGGTGTTTTACTTTCTAACAAATCCTTATATCTCACCCAGACATTAAACAATGCTTTCCTGACAATATGGTTCTTAAAGGCCTTATGTGCTTTAACCTTGTCATACCATAAATATGCATGCCATCCAAAGACATTGTTAAAACCTTCTAAATCCAAAATGTCCGTGTTTTCAAGAAGCAGCCAATCTTTCAGCCAGCAAAATGCGGCTGATTCATAATAAAGTTTAAGATCTGGCAGGGCAAATCCACCTCTTTCTTTAGCATCAGTTAAAATCTTAAATTTTATTCTGGGCTTCTTGCCCTGCCAGACAAATCTCGAAATATCTCTCTGCCATTTCTTGAAACAGTCCATCTTGTCCAAAATCTGCAATGTTTGAAACAAAAACAACATCCTAGGCAATACATTCATCTTTATCACAGCAATTCGGCCCAACAATGATAACTTCAATTTTGACCATATTTCCAAATCCTTTTTCACTTCCATCCAGCATTTTTCATAATTATCTTTAAATAAATTCACATTTTTAGCAGTCATATGAACCCCTAGATATTTCACTTTCTTAACCAATATTAATCCTGTCTCCTTCTGAAACCTCTCTTTCTCAATCTCTGTAAGATTTTTCTCTAACACCTTGGTTTTCACCTTATTCAACTTAAATCCAGCTACTTGACCAAATTCTTGAATTAATTGCAATACTCTTTTGGTACTGGATTCTGGCTCCTGTAATGTCAAAACCAAATCATCAGCAAAAGCTTTCAATTTATACTGTTTAGCTCCGAGTTGTATACCTTTAACCAATTGGTCTTTCCTGATCATGTTAAGCAAAACCTCCAGGACCGATATAAAAGCAATGGGGAGATTGGGCAACCCTGTCTTGTTCCTTTCTCAATCTTAAACTCTTCTGTAACCACGTTGTTTACAATCAACTTAGGTTTTTGTTCTGAGTAAATTGCACCTATACCGTTTTCAAAACCTTGGCCTACCCCCATTCCCTGTAAATTTTTCTTCATAAAACTCCAAGAAATATTATCAAAGGCTTTCTCCGCATCCACAAATATTAAAACTGCTTTAGTGTTAATATTAACTTGTAATTTTTCTAAAATGTTAATTATATTCCTCGTATTATCTGACAAATGCCTCCCGGGAGAAAGCCCGCTTGGTCCTTATGAATTTCTTCCACCAATACCTTTTTAATCTCTTAGCCATAATTTCCGCAAAAAATTTGTAATCCACATTAAGTAGAGATATGGGACGGTAGTTCTTAAGCTGTGTCTTTTCCGCTTCTGTTTTCGGTATAAGTGTAATATAAGCTTCTTTCCACGATTTGGGTGCCTTCCCCCCCCCCCCCCCCAATATTTCATTGCAAACTTCTTTCAAAGGATGTATTAACCATTCTTTCAAAGATTTATCGTACTTTGCAGTCAAACCATCTGGCCCTGGAGATTTGCCCAGTTTCATATCCTGAATGGCTCCTTCCACCTCTTGGTCAGTTATTATACAGTTTAACTTTGATTTACTCTCTTGAGAGATTTTTTGTAATCCATTTGTTCTCAAAAACCGATCAATGTCTATTTCTTTCTGTGTCTCCTGCGTGTATAACTGTTTAAAGTACTTCTGAAAACACTTTCTAATCTCCGCAGGGTTCTGTATGCTCTTTCCCTCTACTACCAAGTTCGTAATAGTATTAAGTTTTTGTCATTTCGTCATTTGCCATGCCAGCAGTTTCCCACACTTGTTCGCTGATTCAAATGTCTTTTGTCTCATCTGTTTAATCTTCCATTCTATTTCCTGATTTGTCAATTTCATATATTGTACTTGATATAGCTTTATCTCTTTTAAGATCTCCTGTGAGTTCGGTTTCATCCTCAGTCTCTTTTCTCCATCCTTTATTTTCTCCAAGATTTTTTCCCTTTTCTCATTTTGAACTCTTTTCCTAATTGCATTTTGTTGTATCAGAAACCCTCTCATAACTGCTTTACTTGCATCCCAAATCACTCTTTTTTCAGTCGTGGTATTCATGTTTATCTCAAAATAATCTCTCAAGTTTTTCTGGGCCTTTTTAATAATTTCCTCGTTCCTAAACAGGGAGTCATTCATCCTCCATCTGAAAGATCCAATTGGCGTTAATGTCATTTCCATCTTCACTGGATTATGATCAGAGCAAATTTTAGGGCAAATTACCGCTTTTTTTATCTTCGGGCCAGTCCCCTAGTTATCCAAATTTGGTCTATTCTTGTCCATGTCATTTTAGCTTCAGAGAAGAAGGTTCCTTCTCTTTCCAAGGGGTTCTTTGTTCTCCAAATATCTACAAGATCCATATTGTCAGTCATTTCAAAAAATGTCTTTGGTAGTCTGCCATCTTTTGTCACCGTTTGTCTTTGGGCTTTATCCATATTCGTAGACACTACTCCATTCATATCTCCCATCAAGATTATGTTGTAATCCAAATAGTCCAGTAAAATTTCATGCAATTTCTTAAAGAATTCTGATTTTCCCTCATTTGGTGCATAAATGCCTAATGTCAAAAACTTCTGACCATGGAGTTGTATTTCAATTGCAATAAATCTTCCTTGGTCATCTTTAAATAAAAATTTCGGTGACAGGCTTTCCTTTGCATAAAGTACTACTCCTCTTTTTTTAACGTTGTCTGATGAAATAAATTCTTCTCCCAATCTTTTATTGATCAAAATTTTCCGATGTAGCCTTGTCACATGCGTTTCTTGTAAACAAATCAAGTCCAAATGTTCTTTTTTAATGTATGAAATACTCTCCCCCGTGTCCCCCGAGAGTTCAGTCCCTTAACATTCCAGCTTAATACTTGCAGTGTCATAGTGTGCGTACTCTCCTTCTCCCCCAACAGCCCCCAATAGTTTGTCTATATCTGTCGGTGGCGTTGGTTTTCCTTTTTTTTTGTAGACTCTTGTCCAGTACGGCAGGCTCTTTTCCAAGTCCTTTCTGTAGGTCTTCTTCGTATGTGCTCAGAAACTTATTTTTTTCCTCCACTGATCTTATTTTTATCTTTCTTCCTTTAAAACTAAAAGATAGGCCTTGAGGGAATTCCCACCTGAAGAGGATCTTACTTTTTCTCAATAGGGCCACCAAGTCTCCAAAGTCTTGTCTTAAATCCAAAAGATGTTTCGGTATATCTTTGAAGATTTCCACTTTTGATTGCAGAATTATCAAGGGTTTCTGGTAATGCAAACCCAAAATTTTGTCCCTTTCTTCTTTAGATCGGAGGGTAATCAGGCAACCCCTTATTTTAATCTTTTTTCCTCCTTTTCCCAGTCTAAAGGCCCTCACGATCTTAAAATCTTCTTGTTTCAGTTCCGATTTCCAAAATTCTGCAAATTCTTGTGTCAAAAAATCTGTCAAGGTGCCCGTCTCCAGCTCAGGAATAGCTCTAATTCTTAAATTCGTCTGTTTCTCTTTCAATTCGATCATAGACAGCGTCAACTTGTGATCTGCAATTTCCTTCTGTAGGCCAGGGACCTTCTCAGTTTCCAGCTGCTCTACCTTAAATTCCATGGCAGCAGTTTTTTCCTGTGTCGATTTCGATTCCTGCAATAATTTCTGAATAGATTCTGTATTGCTATTCACCTTTTCCCCCAAGTTATCTAATGTTTCTGTGTTTAGATCAATTTTTTTATTTGCAGTATCAACTTTCTTATTCGTTTCTTCAACCTTCTTATTCGTCTCATCGACCTTTGTACTAAGTTGTAATAAAGTTTCATTAATCCTGGCCAATGCATTTGCTAAAACTTCTTCTGCCATTCCACTGGACTTAGCTTGTGTTGCTGTCGTAGGCCCGTCTCTCTCATCCTCCTACCCCTTGTTCTTTGGCTGAGCTGCTTGAGGCACCTTGGATCATGGTTTCCATGTCAGCTGAGCCCTATTTTCACCTGGGAAGGCCAAACAGATTAAGCCCCAATCCCTCCAGCTGGTGTTTAGAGAGGAACACAACAGAGTGGCTTTGAAGTGAAGGTTTGTTTAGGGAACATCAGAAAGTAAGAAGAAGATCGCTTGTCAGATATGGTTTATTTATCTTACATAGCCTTTACCAGCCTGATGCTCATCTGCAAAGCATAAGGCTGGCAAGGTCAGACCCTGTTCATCCATGCAGATGGCCAGATGAAGCTTATGAAGGTAGGAAGAGCCATTAGCTGGATCAGGCCAATGTGCTATCTAGTCCTGTTCTCACAGTGGCTGACTAGATGCTTGTGGGAAACCAGCAAGCAGGATCCTTGCACAAGAGCAGATCTCCCCTCCTGTGGTTTCCTGCATCTGGTATTCAGAAGCGTCGCTGCCTCTGACCATGGAGGCAGAGCGCAGTAATTGTGGCTCGTCTCCTCCTCCTCCATGGATTTGTCCAAATCACTTCCAAAGCAAGCATCTGCAAAGATTTCAAGACCTCCAGTCTTCTGACTAGTGAACCTCAGTCTGTAGTGCAAAGTCCCCTTCAAATAGCAGGCTATGCACTTCAGAGCTTTCCAATCCTGAACAGTAGGATTGTTGGCATGTCTGCTGTGCAGGTTAGTGCTTACAGCTATGTCAGGTCTTGAACATCTAGCAATGAAATTCAACTTGCCTAGAATGCATCTGTACAGTGTGGTGTCAGAAAATGCTTCAGCAGTACTATCTACCTGGTAACCTGTCACCATCGGTGTGTCGGCTGGGTTTGCATCAACCAAATTCAGCCTGGTCAATACATCAGCAATTTTCTGTGTCTGGTGTACCAGAAAATTACCTGTTTGGTCCTTCTCCACCTGCAAAGAAACAGAGTTGGATACCTCACCAAGATCCTTCATGTCAAAGTGCTCCTTCAGCTGAGCTAAGGTGCTTTCATACAAAGCCTGATTCTTAATAATAATAATAATAATAATAATAATAATAAATTCTACTTATATCCCGCCCTCCCCAGGCGAAGCCGGGCTCAGGGCGGCTAACAACAATAAAACAGTACAAAAGTACAGCACAAACAACACTCTAAAATCATTCATTATAAAATTAATTAATTCAAGCCACTGGCAACCATTGGGCCAGAGCTCCGCGAAAATTGCCGAGGGAGGGAATCAGGCTGTGCCCTGGCCAAAGGCCTGGTGGAACAGCTCTGTCTTGCAGGCCCTGCGGAAAGATGTCAAGTCCCGCAGGGCCCTGGTCTCTTGTGACAGAGTGTTCCACCAGATCGGAGCCACGGCTGAAAAAGCCCTGGCTCTAGTTGAGGCCAGCCTAACTTCTCTGTGGCCTGGGACCTTCAAGATGTTTTTATTTGAAGACCGTAAGTTTCTCTGTGGGGCATACCAGGAGAGGCGGTCCCGTAGGTACGAGGGTCCTAGGCCGTATAGGGCTTTAAAGGTTAAAACCAGCACCTTAAACCTGCTCCTGTACTCCACCGGGAGCCAGTGCAGCTGGTATAGCACCGGGTGAATGTGATCTCGCAGCGAAGACCCCGTAAGGAGTCTCGCTGCAGCATTCTGCACCCGCTGGAGTTTCTGGGTCAGTCTCAAGGGCAGCCCCACGTAGAGCGAGTTACAATAATCCAGTCTGGAGGTGACCGTCGCGTGGATCACAGTGGCTAGGTCAGGGCGAGAGAGGTAAGGAGCCAACTGCTTAGCTTGGCGGAGATGGAAAAATGCCGCCTTTGTTGTAGCTGCAATCTGCGCCTCCATGGAAAGGAAGGTGTCGAAGATTACACCCAAACTCTTAACGGACGGTGCTGGCACTCATTGCGCGCCCGCAAGAGATGGGAGTTGCCCCCCCAATCCCATATTGTCCCATCCCAGCCACAGGACCTCTGTCTTCGAAGGATTTAGCTTCAACCGGCTCCCACGTAACCATCCAGCCACAGCTTCCAAACATCTGGTCAGTGTGTCTGGGGCCGAGTCAGGATGGCCATCCATCAACAGATAGAGTTGGGTGTCATCAGCATACTGATGGCAACCCAGCTCAAAACTCCGGACAAGCTGGGCGAGGGCGCATAAAAATGTTAAAAAGCACCAGGGAGAGTATCGCACCCTGAGGTACTCCACACACCAAGGAGTGGGGCGATGACAATTCCCCCCCAAGCGCCACCCTCTGTCCCCGACCAGAGAGAAACGAGCGCAGCCATTGAAGGACTGTGCCCTGGATCCCCACGTCGGCAAGGCAGTGGTCCAGAAGTTTGTGATCGACCATGTCGAAAGCTGCTGACAGATCTAGAAGAATCAGCAGCCCCGACCCATCTCGATCCAGCTGTCTACGAAGATCATCTGTTAGGGCAACCAGAGCCGTCTCGGTCCCATGACCAGCGCGGAAGCCGGACTGGAATGGATCCAGAGCCTTCTTCCAAAACAAAAGAAGATTATCAACAAAACATAAACAATACAGTTTGTTTTGCCCCTCCTCCTTGACAAACACACATGGATCAGCTTTGCCTTGGTGAAAACCTAGAGAAAGCAATGTCTCGGTGAGTGTTGTGTTCCAACACCTGGCATTCTGCTTGAGACCATATAGGGATTTCCGTAGTTTACAGACCATTCCCTTCTGTACCTGCACTCCATCAGGTGGAAGCATATACAGTTCCTCCCCAAAACCCCGTACAAAAAAGCTGTGTTCACATTGTGATGAGAAACGTGCAGTTTCTCTTCTGCAGCAATCTTGAGCATTAGCCTAATGCTCTCATACTTGACGGTGGGTGAGTAGGTATCGTGGTAATCCTGTCCTGGTACCTGTGAAAAACCTCTGGCAACCAATCTGGCTTTGTGTCTGACAACCTTGCCATTCTGGTCTGTCTTGGCCTTTTGCTGCCAACCAGCCTCATTCCTGGGACTACTGGCACTAGGTTTGGTTCCTATCCAAGGAATCAACTTCAGCCTTCATGGCATTAAGCCATGGTTCAGCATCTTTAGAGGTTAACACCTGAACCTCTTTGAAGCTTGCAGGTTCCCACACCTTCTCTGAGCTACCAAGAACCGCAGTTGCTGTCTTAGCAAACTCATCAGCAAATCTGTTTGGAGGTTTGCCTTTTGTGGCCCTTTCAGATCTGCGTACTAGACGCAAGTCTTCTGCACTCATCTCCTCTTTCTTAGGAGAAAAGTGGCCAATGGTGAACACAGTGGTTCTTCCAGTTCAGTGTCAGACGCATCAGACACTGAACGCATCAGACACTGCGCTCTTGTAGTCTGCTGTGTCATCACTGTTGCTGACATCAGCAGCAGCGCCGCCCACTGAGCTGGAATCCGAACTCTGATCATCATCCTCAGCTTCCTCTTCTTCCTCAGCCTCTTCATCCTCTTGTGAGTGACTCTGGAAAATTCCCACATCCTCCCCCCTTAGGATTGTACTCAACACTCTTTGTGAACCTAACGGACTGAGAGTCAGTCATGAATACCCTGTATGCACCTTTTTTGTACCCCATGAACAAACCATGTGCCCCACGCTTCCCAAGCTTGCTGCTCTGTGGGGTGTGGACCCACATGTCAGAACCAAAGATTCTCATGTGCTTAACATAAGGTTTCTTACCAAACATCTTCTCATAGGGAGTACAACCAATAGGTGATGACAGTCTCCTGTTGTATGAATAAACCAAAGTATTCAAAGACTCAGCCCAATATTTCTCAGGGAGATTGGCATCATGCAACAAGGTTTTTAGGCCTTGCAGCAAATTTTGGCCTGTCCTCTTGCAAAGTCCATTCTCCCATGGAGATCTGGGACTTGAGAGGTCATGCTGGATTCCCTTCTCAGTCAGGAAAGCTTCAAACTGCTGAGAAGTGAATTCACCCCCTCGATCAGAAAATAAACAGCCAATGTGTTTATTGTGAGCATTCTCCAACCAAGCACAGAACGCCTTGAACCTAGGAAACGCTTCCGACTTCTGCTGGAGCATAAACACATGAATGTACCTGGAAAAAAAATCAGTTAAAACCATGAAGTACCTTGTTCCACCCAAAGAGGGCGCAAGTGGACCAACCAGGTCTGCGTGGACTAGCTGATAGGGTTTGGAAGCCTGTCGGCTAGACACTTTGCCTTTGGGAGCAACCTTCACTTTGTTTTCATGAATAATTTTTATTAACCGACCAATCACATCAAATCAAACCAAATTACATAAATTCCAAATTACACAGCCGAATTTTAAATTTTTGTTGGGGGTACCCATATTTCAAGTTCGAAGGGATCCAATCAACTTCTTGCTTCTTACTGCTGTTTTAATGTCCACAAATCTAACCTTATGATGTTCACAGTACTATCCAGTTCTTTCTTATTATTTTTCCACATCTCTTGTTGTTATTTTCATATATTTTTCCTTTCTCTTTGTGACCTCTGATAGTCTCTGCAAGCTGGTTAGAACGGTTTGTAATCCTGTGTGGATATTACTTTTTTTATCCAGTAGCCATATCCAGACGTTTTCCATATAACATCACTTCCATACATCAAAACAGTCTTAGCGTCATTAATCTTCACCAATCTGCCTCCTTTCTCAAAACCTCTGAGATTCACTAGGAATGCAGTCTGAAAACAAGTCTGTTCTTCCTTCCGGCTATAAATCCTTTGGCAAGATGGCGACTCCGAATTAATTGCTGCGCCATTCCCAAAAGCTCTTATTGCTTCTCGTTCTCCATAAAGCATACTTTTGGTTAAAGTTTATCTCCACACAGACCTTAATCATCCTGCTTGGGTCAGTTCAACCGACGGTTCTAATGAGGAGGGGTTCTTGTAAATCACATAGAAGGAAAGTAAAAAAGGTCCCCCCCCCCCCCCATTCAGCCCCGTTGTCAACATACCCCGCCTTTGGTGTATCTTCATCGTAAAATATTCCTGTTTCTCCAGCCCATCGTCTTCTTTCGCAGAGGTCACTTAAATTAGCAGACTTCACTCCCCTTCTTCACTTGAAATATGTGCATTTGCTTCTTTTGTAATTAATTATTCCAAATTGCTGCAACTAGTGCGCGATCAGAGACAGCGTCCAGGAGAGCCGAGGTCCACATGGGGGCATTCTGCCTAGGGCCCTCACCCCCTTCTTTCAAATTAGGGGGTGATTTATGGGCACAGCAGGCAAGGGCAGTGTTCCCCATTTCCTTGGGGCAACAAGGGAGGCTGCCTACTCCCATAACAGCCTCTTAATTACCCTGTGTGGGTCGGAGAGATGGTATTGTCGGCCATCTTCCAATGCGCCCCTAGTGGCCCCCCACCTTCACTTTGTTTTCTACACAAGAGACACATTTCATGTGAAACTTACAGGGCTTTATGGTCAAACCCTGAACCATCCCAGGCATCTTGGCCAGCACCTGCCATGCCATGTGAGAACAAATCTTCTGTGCTGTTCGTGAATACAACCTGAATGAAGAACTTTGTTAGTTTGTGCAACACAACAAGATTCAACATTAGACACATCAACAGCTTTGTCATCATAAGTTATCAAGAACAAGCCATCTACAAACTTAGCATGCAAAACGTCCTCTTTGCCCTTCTTAATAACGCAGATGCCCTTCTTGAAGGTAATCTCAAAGTCTTGCTCAGTCAGCTGTGGGATGCTGAGCAAATTGTCTGCAGAATGTGGAACAAAAAGTACTTTGCTGATGGTGGTGTGCAGACTTGCCAGTTTCACTGTCCCAACTCCTGCAATTCTCAAAGTCTTACCATCAGCCTGTTGGATTCCCCAACCTGAGGCGTAAAGGAAATAAACAGGTGTCAACTTCCACAGATGTGCCTCGTGGCTCCAGAATTGACAATAAAATGGCTTTTGGCCTTTGGAGCAGCAGTGCTAGCAAACAAAGTCTTGTTTTGCACAGGCCTGGGTTTCTCACCCCCTCCCTGCTTCCGGCCATCTGCAAGCTTTTTCTTTTGTTTCCCTTTAGCCTTTGGACAAAGATGCTGCAAGTGGCCTTCATTTCCACAGTGCCAGCACTTCACAGCTGCCAACACCTTGGCTCCCCCTGGAGGCTGGAATGCTGTCCCACACTGCTCCCCCCTGAAGCACACAAGCTGGTTCCGCTGCGTTCCTCCTATCATATTCATTTTGGAGGGTCTCCAAATCCTTTGAAGCAGTGAGCTCCTGCGCAGGTAAAGTTGCCAGCTGGCTTGCCACAGCGTGGTAACTATCGTCTAGGGAATCCAGGATAAGGATTGCAAACAGAGACTCAGGCATATTAAAACCTCTCTGAGTCAATTCCTGTCTGAGATGCTGCAAATGCAAAACGTGGGCTCTAAGGTCTTCCCCTGGTGACAAACATTTCTTGTGCAGTTTTCTGAAGTAAAGCAACACAGACCCAGCCTCTTGTCGGAGATGACAGGCCTGAAGCCCTTCCCACATCTCACTCGAGCTGGCCTTGCCAGTCAGGGTGATTAACTCTTCAGGGTCGACTGAGAGCAAAATTACTCCCATGGCTTTTGAATACTGTGCCACCCATGCATCCGTCAGAGGCGCTGGGGGGTCCTCATAATCAGCAGAGTGAATAACTTCTCACAACGGAAGTGGTGGACAGAGACATGTGTAAGCATATCTACAGGCGTTTATTCAGCATAGTTCAGGAACAAAGGAAAAACATGTCTGCTTCCCTTCATGTCCAAGCAAAACAGCAGTACAGCAAAAGCAATATACAACGGAAGTTCCCAGCAGACTGTGCTGGAAGTAAACAGACATGTGACATACTACAACTCCACATATCTGTTCCTCTTAAGGCGGAATGGAACATCAATATCCTAACATAATGGAGCCTGTGCTGATTCAGAAATGAAGTAGTATAACCATAGAGGATAGCCATAGCCCCAAAACTTTTGCACCCCCTCCAGCATTTTCTCTGATGGAAATAGGGACATCTTCTTCTACATCAGGAAGTTTCTCCCGCTGCACGCGTAGACATCATTTGCGCATCAACATGGGTCACCTTGAGCCAATTACAACCTCTCCGCTGAACCTACCTTGCAGGATTGTTGTAAGGAAAAATGTGCGAGGGCAGGGATCATTTATAACACTTTCCACAGATTAATAGAATGAAATAAATTTTAGCCTATAAGCTCCCTTGAGGGGAAAAGATGTTGTTGTTGTTGTTGATGATGATGATAATGGTAAAGGAAACGGAGAATTATCCAGAACATACCAGCAAATAAATCCTGTTGAACTCAGTGGGACTTAGTTCTGAGTAAAAATGCTTAGGATTGCAGTCTAATTCTATAATTCCAGGACAGTCCCTGGAAAATTGGGACATTTGGAGGGTGCAAAGAGATTCATGTATAACTGCCCTGCCCAGATACCACCATGAGCGCAAAATGTCATGAATGCACAATAGAAAGGATGCGTGGAGGGGGCCCATGTGTTCTGCTGAGAAGCAAAGAAAAATGGGCTCTTAGGCAGTCTCCTGAGACTGGTCAACTGGATAAGACCCCCAAGTCCCACCCCAAGCCTTGGGCCCAACAACTTAAGAACCCCTCAGTTGCCCCAGGGCAGGTTGTATGCAGAAGGAAAGTTGGCAGTTCACCATCCTTCCCTGCTTGCCTCCTCAGGGCTTCCTGTGTTTATTGTTGGTGTGACCCTGACCACGTCGTTCAACAAGTACGTGGCAGAGAACCACTACTGGCTGAACGCGCAGACGGATATCATCTGGGCTTTTGTGGGGCATGTCCTCTTCGTCCTGACAGTAAGTGTGTCAGGAAAGGGGGGGCCTCCTCCTTTCATTGACAGAGTTTGCAATGCAAAAGGTTCTTGCTACCATGTGTGGCAGGATTGGGTGCATGTGAACAAATGTTGGGATTCAGTGGTTTTCAAACTCAGCACCTTCACAAGACAAAGAAGAACTCTGCAGACCACAGGGTGCGTTTACTTTCCATTTGTGTGGGAGATAACTCTGATTTACACAACAATATACTGGGGTGGGTGTTTCCGTGTTCCCTGAGAGGAGGATTCTGGGAAATCTCCCCCCTCCACAACTGCCACCTCTTAAAGCCGCTGACTGCTGTTCCAGGTCCAGTCCCTGACCCTCTCGCCTCTCTCCTTTGTGCTTTTCCGAGTAGTGATTTTGCTGATTAATCCTGCCGTCCAGTCAGCGCTCCCTGCGTAGCTCTGCTGGGACTGACCTGGGCAGAATATACAGAGTCGCAGCGTTCCTGCCGTCCATGTGAGATAGAGGGATAAATCAGTCCAGAGACAATTTTTTGCTATCTCTAAAAGCGTTTATTTACAAGCCATAAATCCATCGGAACTCTCCGGCATTTCTCCAGTGCTTAGAGCACACACAGCCTCTCTGTAGTGTCTCTCAGTCTAAAGTGAAAGTAACTCTCACAGACAAAGACGGACAAAGCCTGTGACGTATGGCCCTGCGTCAGGCCCCTCCCCAGATACAGGACACCAAGGAGTTTTAACCCTATAAACTCCAAACTCCACACCCCCTCTTGTCCTGCATCTGGGGGAAATAAGCAACAATGCTCACCCCAAACACAGACCTTCCCTAAACTCTCCATGCTTCTGGAAGGTTAGCGGTTTTAACCCTATAAACTCCAAACTCCACAGTGATGGTGACAGTCTCCAGTGCACGGCAACGGTCAAGGATGCTGACCCCCAACAGCAGCTTGGAAAAACAGATTGGCATCCAGATCCGGTGAATCCCGGGAGGCCCCTGGGGCTGCCCCCTGCCCCCTCCAGAGAAGGGCACCAGAGAAGCAAAAGGACATATATCTGAATGCCATTTGCTAGGGAGAAGAAGTGTGAGAGCCAGTGGTGATGTAGTGCTTGGAGGGTCAGACTAGGACCGGGGAGGCCAGGGTTCGAATCCACACTTGGCCAAGAAGCTCACTGGGTGTCCTTGGAAGCCAGTCACTGCCTCTCAGCCTAGCCTACCTCGCAGGGTTGTGAGTGTTGATTTAAAGCAGAGTCTGTCGTGCCCAGCGGAAGGATGAGGAATACGTGCTGCATACTCTATATTGCTTTATTTACAGTTCAAAGCTGGTATATTACAGAAAGACATCTTGCCTCTGCCGGAGCAGAAAATGCATCCTCTCTCCTCGACAGCTCGGAGAGAATCACACAGTGAAAAACAGGAAACCAGTGTACGTCACATCCAGTCTCCCTTTCCCGTGAGAAACTCCAACAGTACAGACTGTGGAATGTAAACACCTGTCTCGTGACAAGCAGAGCTGCACAGTGAAGGAAAGCAGAAACCAACATCCTCCCCTTTCTGTGAACATCACTGGGCAGCGTGTTTGTACAATATCAGTACAAACCCAACTTCTGCACATAGGTACAGTGTTGATCCCTCGATACAATCTTGGACAATACATCAGCAGGAATTTCATTACCTGGCATATAGGACACCGTTACGAGTCCCTTCTGAATACATTCCCTAGCATGCTGCAACTTTAATTGCAAGTGCTTTGTGCTTTGCTTACAACCTTCAGACTTCAGCAAAGCCAAACATGCTTTGTTGTCCTGGTAAACCTGGATTGGACATTTGACAGGAATTTTCATATCTTTGCACAATTGTACTAACCATTCACAATCCTTAAGTGAATAAGACAGTGCATTCAGTTCGGCTTCACAAGTACTTAAGCTAACTGTTGTTTGCTTCTTGCATGACCAATCAAACAGACTCTGATTGTACATATAGCAAACTCCAGACGTACTTTTCCTGTCTGTAGTGTCACTTCCAAAACTTGCATCTGCAAATATCTCAAGACCACCAGACTTCTGATTGTTAAATCTCAGTCTGTAATGCATAGTGCCTTTCAAATACCGCGCTATGCGTTTCAGAGCTTTCCAATCCTTGACACTAGGATTGTTGACTTGTCTGCTTAGCAAATTACAGCTAACAGCAATGTCTGGTCTTGAACATCTGGCAATGAAGTTTAGCTTGCCTAGCACACTCCTGTACAGTGTAGTGTCAGAAAATGCTTCTTCAGTGTCATCTACCTGATAACCTGTTGTCATCGGTGTGTCTACAGGGTTAGCATCCATCAGATTTAGTTTGCTTAACACATCAGCAATTTTCCGTGACTGGTGTACTAGAATGTTACCATCTTGATCTCTCTCTATTTCCAGAGATAGGTAGTTGTTTACCTCACCAAGATCTTTCATGTCAAAGTGCTCTTTCAGTTGAGCTAGGGCGCTATTGTACATTGCAACATCTTTCCAAAAGAATAATAAATCATCAACATAAAACAAACAGTACAGTTTCTTTTGCCCCTCCTCTTTGACAAATACACATGGATCAGCTTTCCCTTGCTGAAAACCTAGAGAAAACAATACTTCAGTGAGTTTTGTGTGCCAACACCGTGCACTTTGTTTGAGACCATAAAGGGATTTCTTCAGAGCACAAACAAATCCCTGTTTTACCTGTACGCCATCAGGTGGAAGCATATAAAGTGATTCATCTAGAGATCCGTACAGAAAAGCTGTATTAATATCATGGTGACTAATGTGTAGATTTTCCTCTGCAGCTAGCTTAAGCATAAGCCTAATGCTTTCATATCTCACTGTGGGTGAATAGGTCTCGTGATAGTCTTCACCTGGTACCTGTGCAAAACCTCTGGCTACCAATCTGGCTTTGTGTCTGACTATCTTGCCATTTTGATCTGTCTTCGCTTTGAAGACCCATTTGCTTCCAAGCAGTTTCATTCCTGGAACTACTGGAACTAGCTCCCATGTTTTGTTCCTTTCTAAGGAATCAAGCTCAGCCTTCATGGCATTTAACCATGGCTCAGCTTCCTTTGAATCCAAACCCTGGATTTCTTGGAAACTTGAAGGTTCAAATACCTTCTTGGAGCTTTTAACAGCTGTTACTGCTATCGTAGCAAACTCATCAGCAAATCTCTTTGGAGGTTTGCCTTTGTGGCTCTCTGTGACCTACGAATTATCCTTAAGTCTTCAACACTCTCCTCTTCCTTCTTAGGAGAAAAACGACCTATTGTGAACAATGGTTCCTCCAATTCTTGATCAGAGCTTTCAGAGGGTCGCATAGAGGCTTTCGCACTCTTGAAATCCTCTGAATCACCCGATTCAGTTTCAGATTCAGACTCAGAACCTTCATCAGTGGGTGTGGGTTGTTGTGGTTGCTTTTGACTATCCTCAGTCTCATCACCGTCATCAGGATAACATTGGAAAATTCCCACATTCTCCCCCACTTTGCATTGTACTCAACACTTCTCGTGAGCTTAATTGTCTTAGAGTCAGTCATCATTATTCTGTAAGACCCTTTCTGATAACCTAGAAAGATACCATGCAATCCACGCTTGTCTAACTTGGAGTTTTGTGGTGAGCGAACCCACATGTCAGAACCAAAAATCTTCATGTGTTTGATGTATGGCTTCTTGCCAAACATCTTCTCATAGGGTACAACCAATCGCTGAAGATAACCTGCGATTGTAACTGTAAACAAAACACGAGAGAGATTCGGCCCAATAACTCTCTGGAAGATTGGCATCATGCAGCAAGGTTTTTAACCCTTGAAGCAATGTCTGATTTGCCCGTTCCGCAAGTCCATTCTGCCATGGCGAGCGAGGACTAGACAAATCGTGTTGAATTCCTTTCTCAGTCAGAAAAGCTTCAAACTGCTGAGAAGTGAATTCCCCCGCGATCACTGAAAAGAGTCTTTATCTTCTTACCATGCACATTTTCCAACCAAGCACAGAATTCCTTGAACCTAGGAAAAGCCTCCGATTTCTGCTTGAGATTGTACACAAAAATATATCTAGAAAATGCATCAATGAGAACCATGAAGTATCTATTTCCACCCAAAGAGGGCGCTAGTGGTCCAACCAAATCAGCATGAACAACCTGGTATGGTTCTGTAGCTTTCCTACTAGACACCTTACCTTTCGCAGCCATTTTCACCTTGTTTGCTGCGCATGCTTTGCACTTCATGTGGTACCTGCAGGGTTTAATAGTCATACCTTCAACCAAGGCAGGCATTTTAGATACTGCCTCAAAATGCAAATGACCAAATTTTCTATGAAAATCGTGAATACATTCTGCATGCAAACTTTTGTTAGAACCTGCAATGCAACAAGTGTCATCCTGCACCACATCATCATAATACAAAACAAACAAACGATCAACATATTCTGCATGCAATACATAATCATTTTTCTTTGTGATGATGCACTTCTTGTTCTTGAAGGAAACGTCAATGTTCCGCTCATTCAGCTGTCCAACGCTGAGCAGATTATGTTTGGCGTCTGGCACGTAAAGCACATTCTGTATCGATAAGTCCAAACTGTGAAGAACAACAGTTCCATAGCCTTTACTGGGAATAGTGTGGTCATCCGCCTGGTGAATCGCACCTTCCTGCGGTGTAAAAGACACAAACAGTCTCTTATCGTTGCACATGTGGTGGGTGGCCGCTGAATCAACAACGAAGAAAGATCTAGACGTCTTCTGGACCTCTGCAACCTTTGGAGTGAAGCGTGAAACCATAGCCTTGTGCTGCGTTGTCCTTGACACCGGACCTTTACCTTTGCCTCGGCCTTTTCCGCACGATGAGCTCGCTGCGCTGCTCTGTCTTGGCCCTGGGATGTCTGCATTCCCTCTTCATATGGCCTAGACGTCCACACGAGTAGCATTTCACTGCCTTCAAAGCTTTGGCGCCATCTTGTGGTTCCACTGCACTATGGGATGACGTCTGTGAAGACTCCCCCTGCCCATGCAGCTAGCACCCCGGCGATCTGCTTCATTTAAAATCACGGCAGTAACAAAGTCCACTGTCAGCTGAGCAGTTGGTTGCACAGCAATCTGGGTTGCAACAGACTCCCAACCTGAACCCAAAGATTGTAGTATCATGAAAGAATACACAGCCTCTGGAAAGTTGAGTCCTCTCTGTTGCAGCTCATGTCTCAGATTTTGCATCTCCATCAGATGTAAACGCACATCTCCACCTTCAGCAAGAGCCATATTATGCAGCTTGTTAAAGTAAAACATAGTGGATCCAGCTTCTGTCCTTAAGTGAGCCTCTCTCAGAGCGTCCCAAATTTCTCTGGCTGAGGTCTTATCACGCAATAGACAGAGCTCTTCTGGGGATACTATCAATGTAAGAGTTCCCCTTGCTTTGGAATCCTTAGCTTCCCATGCATCTGTAACTGGAACTGGGGGTTCCTGTAATCACCTCAAACAAACCCTCTTTCCGCAGAATTGCCTCTGCATACTGAACCCAGTCGCTGTAATTTTTCTTGTTGAGCTTAGGAATCCCACAAGCATCCTGAAGGGCCATCATGACTCTGGCATTAGCCTTCAGCGTCATATATATGCTGCTTTAAATCTTGCTGCGTCACTGCTGCAGCTGCTTTATTACAAAGGCACACTTAAAAGTTACTTTCGATTTCCCCAGCATAGTAACTTGTGCCTGGGAGCCTTTTGCCTATTCCCGGCAAAACCGGCTTTAAAAGTTCAAAGTTCAGCCATAAAGCCATTAACCTGAAGCTGGCAGGCTGCCCGGAGCAGTAGCACATACCTCATCAATCACTTCTACGCGCAGAGCAGATTCCGTTCCGATCTGTCCCTCTGCATTCCGATCCTTTTGCCGGCACTCCGATTCGACTTCTGGAGTCCATAACCACGTGTTGATTTAAAGCAGAGTCTGTCGTGCCCAGCGGAAGGATGAGGAATACGTGCTGCATACTCTATATTGCTTTATTTACAGTTCAAAGCTGGTATATTACAGAAAGACATCTTGCCTCTGCCGGAGCAGAAAATGCATCCTCTCTCCTCGACAGCACGGAGAGAATCACAGAGTGAAAAACAGGAAACCAGTGTACGTCACATCCAGTCTCCCTTTCCCGTGCGAAACTCCAACAGTACAGACTGTGGAATGTAAACACCTGTCTCGTGACAAGCAGAGCTGCACAGTGAAGGAAAGCAGAAACCAACAGTGAGGAGGGGAGAATCATGTACACAACCTCGAGCAACTTCAAGGAAAAGGTGGGCTATAAATACTTTAAACAATAAAATAGAATCAGAGGCCACATTCCCACCATAGATTTAAAGTGTTGCAATACCACTTTGAACAGTCATGCCGTCCCCAAAGAGCTGTGGGAGCTGTAGTTTACTTAGGGTGCCAAGAATTGCCAGGAAACACCCTGTTTCTCTCACAGAGCTATAGTTCCCAGAGTTCCCTGAGAAAGAGGAATTGATTGTCTTTTTTAAAGTTTTTTTTTTTTAAATAAGATTTGCACATGGGACGATTGAAACATCATACTCACACACATCATAAAAACAGTAATAACGTCAAGAGGAATAAAAATACAAGATAATACAGCTTTAAAAGGATGAATGATGTAAAATATATTCCATAGTTGATATTTATTCAAAATATATCAAGCATTCATAAACCTCGACAGATGAAATAATATTTAGTAGGAATGTGCCAGCCATGAGATCGTTTGGTCATATATATTTATATGGGAGGGATTGATTGTTAAACTGCTCTGGAAATTGCAGCTCTGGATGGGGAATAAGTGCCTCCTAAATAACTCCCTTAGCAAACTACTGCTACTGCTGCTTGAATTTGTACACTGCCCTTCACCTGAAGGTCACAGGGTGGTTCACAACATCAACTGCACCTCCCAGGATTCTCTGGGGAAGCCACAATGGTTTAAACTGGTATCCTAGTGAGGCATCTGATCAAGGCCTGTATTTTAAAATGAGCTTAAAAATATATTTGCAAATGTTTGTATGTTTCATGCCAGGCAGAAACCAGCTGGCTAGGTACTCTGGCAGCTGTTTATCTTCCTGCTCTGCTGGACAAGGGCCCCCCTGATTTATAGCAGGAGACAAGTTTCTCAAAGTTGTAAAAGGGAATTACAGGCTGGGAGCAAAGGTTATACTGACCCTACATATTACAGAATACAATCAAGCTGCAAAAACACTAATTAAGAGTTGGTAAATAGTAAGATTTATTGTTTAACAGAAAATAATACTATGTGCCTCCCATCAGACTCTAGTCATATTTTCCTAAGGTTAAAGGGCAAGAGCTAATGGGAAAAGCAGCTGGCTGGGAAAGCAGGGTGTAAACTGAAGAGGTTTCTTTTGAAGCTGTTTTCTACTGAGTTCCTTTTTTTGCTTTGAAAAGGCCTTTTCTTCTAAAAAGCTATCTATGTTATGTATGAGGTTTTGTTGGCTTAAATGTAATTATGCAAAGGATTTAGAAAGTAAGAAATGTTAGATTCTTATTTCATTGATGGTGTGTGAGAATGTGAACCCAAGATCTCTGTTTAGACAGAATTTAATACCATGAGCCATCTGTTTTAGCCATTTGTTTTGGAATAAAGGGGCAACAGGGGCCAAAGGTGATCTGGTAATTAAGGTGCCTTGTCGAGGCAAATGTAAGATATATGGCTACTTGTCTGCCATTTATGGATAGAAGGAAATATAGCTCTTTGTCTCCCATAAAAGGTAATAGGAAATGGGTGTATCTTTTATGATTGGTTCTAGCAAACAGCCGATAGGAATTTCAACCAGGCTGATTGGACAGAGGCAGCCAAAGGAGGAGCAAGGGGGCTGGGCTGAGGAAATATAAGTGCTGGCCATCAGGGCTGGAGTGAGCAGAGCTTTGGTAACCATATACCACTGTGCCTATCATTTATTTGTCTGACAAATAAATTATTATTTTAATTTCTCTATTGCTGCGTTGAATATTTCATTCCAGCTAAGCGTTAACCACAAGCAGGGTGCTACACTAGTGCTTTAGTGTGAACATGGCCATAGAAGTCAATTGTAGAATTGTAGAGTTGGAAGGGATCCTGAGGATCATCCATTCCAACCCCTGCAAGGCAGGAATGTGCAATAGCAGCTGGGATTAGTAGAGAGGAGGACAAGGAGATGAAGCCAGAGTGAATGACAGGCAGGGTCACCCCCTGGCCAGTTATAAGTAAGAAGACAGGCTGAGGTTGGTGGGGCCCCATTTGCCCCAATAGACCAGCTTGCACAGCTTGAAGCCATTGGTTTGAGTCCTACCCTTTGGAGCTGGAGAAAACAAGCTTGCTCCCTCTTCCACCCGACAGCCCTTAAGATATTTGAAGATGGCTATCATATCTCCATCAATATGCCAGCAAGTTTGGAAAACTCAGCAGTGGCCAGAGGATTGGAGAAGATCAGTCTGCATCCCAATCCCAAAGAAGGGCAGTGCCAAAGAATGCTCCAAATACTGCACAATTGCACTCATTTCACACGCTAGCAAGGTTATGCTTAAAATTCTACAAAGAAGGCTCAAGCAGTATGTGGACCAAGAACTCCCAGAAGTGCAAGCTGGATTTCGAAGGGGCAGAGGAACCAGAGACCAAATTGCAAACATGCGCTGGATTATGGAGAAAGCTAGAGAGTTCCAGGAAAACATCTACTTCTGCTTCATTAACTATGCAAAAGCCTTTGACTGTGTGAGGAAAACCTGAGCTTACAGGGTTAAACAGCTCAGAGTGTACGCTCTGCCTACAAGTGGGAGGGGGGAACTCCTACGTCAGTTCCGAGAGACTCAAGTCTTTGTTCTGTCTCTCTACTTTCGCTTTGGGGAGAGAGGACGTGTTTTCGCGATGCTGTTCGCTGTGATAGATAATGGATAGCCTGCTGTAAATAAAACTGCTTTTAGCTGCTAAGATCCAGTGTGGACTTTATTTAAGCACACTGAAGAAGGCACTGGAGTTTTGTTTTGGTTTCCTCTTACCGCTGACGAACTCTGCTATGCTCAGATGAGTCAGACCATTGGAATGCAGAGGCCCGTGATGGGGGAAGCGTGCCGGACCAGGCTTATCTGAGCAATAAATCAAGATATCTCAGAGGTTATGGGGGCAGTAATTGCAATTAGAGGAAGCCTGCTTTGATGTGCTGTGTGCTTAAAGAAGGCTGAAAACTGAGAAGCTGTTGTTTTGCTGCCGGAATGCAAAAGTCCTGCTTTGAGGCTTCGCCTGGGAGAAAGCTGCAAAGCTAGATGCAAGCTGTGTGCTGCAAGGAGCCACTGGAGGCCTCTCCTTTGAAGCTGGCTGGTACGCGTGAGTACTTCAAAGCCCCGATGGGAGCACTGTGGGAGGAGATGGCTGAGCTCCAGGACTTTTATGATGTCCCGTTTGAAAAGCTCACAACCCAGTCCTGGGATATCTGGGTTAGAAGAGTCAGGGGGTGGTTTTTGGCCACAGGGTTCTGGGATATAACCCAGAAGGAGCCTGCCCCACCCATGCCAGTTGCTGCTGAAGAGGGAGGAGCAGAACTGGAGGCTGCACTCCTGGAAGATAGAGAGCTGAGAATGCAAAGGGAGCTCTGCATGTTGAGAGCAAGCGTGGACGCTATGCTGTTGCCCCACCTGGAGGGCATTGAGTCGGCTCAGGCCGCCTGGCAGGTGCTGAGGAGTCTGTGTGATAGCTCAGCAGGAGCCCAGGGCCGGGAGGAAGCCGAGAGCAGGCAGGAAGCTGAGAGCCCAGAGGGGGCTGCTGGCCATGTTCCTAAAATTACAGCTGGGAGTAGCTGCTTTGTCTCCGAGGGGCCGTGTGATGTTGAGGCCTACAACCAGAGTGCTGAGGAGCGTGCAGGCCCAGGCTGTGCACCCAAAGGTGGGGGTGCAGGGAACAAAGGAATGGCTGAAGAGGGAGCTGTGAGAGCTGTTGCTACGCGTCGCCGCTGTTATCGCTGTGGCTCCCCCTCCCATCTGGTGAGAGAATGTCCAGTGGAGGAACAGCCCAAGGCCGTCTCCCGTAGCAACCAGATAAAGAGCTCTTCTTCAAAGCGTGGGAAAGGCAAGCCGAAGGCAGCTGGCAGAGACACTGAACGTAAACATTTGGCTGCCTCTATGGCTGTAGTTAAGAGGTGTCAACAGGATGCTGAGCTGGCTTTTGTGGTCGACAGTGGATCATCGCATCATCTCGTGCCATCTGGTGGATTCCTGGAGAACTGCACCTCTGTAAAAACTGGGAAGACTGTCTGTTTAGCAGATGGGACTCGACACCCACTCACGCAGAGTGGCTCACTGTTTTGTTCTTTCTTGCAGGACTCAATCCAGGCTTTTGTTGTTCCAGGACTGTCCTGCGCGTTGCTGTCTGTCAGTGCACTTCTTGCTGAGAACTACAGAGTGTGTTTTGAGAACAATAAGTGTTCTGTTTCCAAGAATGGACAGCACCTAGTCAGTGTTGAATGTAAAGACAGGTTGTTTGTGATAAATGCTTCTTTTGCAGGTCCAGATGACACGGATGACACGGAGGAGGCTCAAGCGCAGTGTGCCAATGTTCCAGTTCATGATGCGTGTCAACATCTCTGGCACAGACGTATGGCACACGTGTCGTGGGGGTCGGTGAGAAGGATCCCAGAGTATACGCAAGGGTGCAAAATGAAATCATGTGCTAAGTTTCTAGATTGCAGAGCGTGCAAGTCCGCAAAGGTGAAAACGTGCACATACCCTAGGTCTGAGAGGGTGACCACTAGGGCTTTTCAATTAATTCATGCAGATTTGTGTGGTCCGTTTTCTGTGAGCAGTTTGGGCGGAGCCAAATATTCGCTGGTTCTGATTGATGACCATACTAGGAATTCTTGGAGTTTTTTGCTTCGGCGCAAAGATGAAGCTGCGCCGCTAATCAAAGACTGGATTGCGGCTGTGGAACTGCAGTTTTCCACACGGGTGCAAAACTTTCAGAGCGATCGCGGTGGGGAGTTCACCGGGTCTGCACTGCAAAGTTTCTTCCGCAAAAGGGGGATTCAACACAGGTTGACTTCTCCACACAGTCCCCAACAGAATGGGATCGCGGAACGCAGGAATAGGACTCTAGGGGAGATGTCCGCAGCTCTTTTGTTTGATGCCGGGCTCCCACAGCGCTTTTGGGGGGAGGCTTGGCGAACGGCCAACTTTGTTCTGAACAGGTCGTTCAATTCAGTGGTAGGTGACACACCGTACTTCTTGCTCCATGGCAAGAAACCGAAAGTGCACTACTTCCGCGTTTTTGGCTGTGAGGCTTGGGTCCTCATACCAAAGGCCAAACGCAAGAAAGGTGAACCCAGGTCCCAAAAGATGATTTTTTGTGGGTATGAGCCAGGGACCAAGGGGTGGAGGTTTGCTTATCCGTCAGGGAATCAGTCCAGGATTCTGCTCAGCAACAGTGCTGAATTCTGTGAGCAGAGTGGCTGGGCAAGGATACATGGGAACCCTGACATCCTGTCAGAGAGTCTGCTAGACTCTGCTGATGAAGGAGAGGAAGAGGTTGAACCTGCGACTGAGGCTCAGAGTCCAGACCCAGTGCAGGCAGAGGGGAGAACTTCTCCCAAGGCTGTGAAGATTGAGCAACGCAGTGCTCCATCTTCCCCCACAGGTTCGGCTGAGAAGTCCAGAAGGCGCAGTAAGTCAGAGGGGAGCTCTCTGATGCCAAGGACGTTCTGGCTGGCCCTAGTGGGTCAGAGGGGTTCCTGAAGTAGTGCTGCGCCGTTCAACGCGGACGACCAAGGGAAACCTCCTGAAAGGTTTGCCGTCACTAGTGTGTGGGTCGGAATGGCACAGTGTGAACCCGAGAGTTTTGAGGATGTTCAGAAACTGCCTCAGGAAGAAGCCAGGAAATGGCATGAGGCGATGCAGAAGGAGATGAACTCAATGGAGTCTCTAGGTGTGTTCTCCCTCACGAAGTTGCCGGTGGGTGAAAAGGCAGTGGGTAGCCGCTGGGTTTACCGTCTTAAGCCCACAGCGGCAGGAGAACCGCAGTATAAGGCCAGATTAGTGGCGAGAGGATTCACGCAGCAGAGGGGTTGCATTATACGGAGATTTATGCGCCCACGTGCAGGAGGGAGTCTCTACGCCTGGTCTTGGCCATCGCTGCACAAAGAGGTTTGCTGGTGCATCACTTTGATGTGGATGTTGCTTACTTGAACTCAGACCTCCAGGAGGATCTGTACATGCTTCCTCCTCCTGGGTTTGAGGGCAATGAGCGAGGTACTGTGTGGAAACTTCACAAGTCAATTTACGGCCTGAAGCAGTCGGCCAGGAATTGGAACTTGTGCCTGAATGAAGCTTTGGAGAAGCTAGGTTTCAGGAAGAGTCTTGCTGACAGTTGCCTGTTCCTTAGAGGATCAGGAGACTCACAGGAACTGGTGTTGTTTTACGTTGATGACATCATCCATGTTGGAAAGGCAGACAAACAGGTGCAGAAGTTTGCCAAAGAGCTTGGGAAGCGGTTTCAGCTCAAGGACCTGGGTGCAGTAAAGATCTACCTAGGTGTCCAGATAGCGAGAACTGAGGATGGTAGCTTCTTGCTCAGTCAGAAAGGCAAGATTGAGCAGTTGCTGGAGAAGTTCAGAATGTCCGATTGTGCAGGAGTTCGGACACCCATGGAGACGAACTTCGTGAAAGATAGCCAGCAAGCAGAAAGTGCTGAGTTTGAGAATGCTGAGCTCTTTCAGTCAGCCCTAGGTAGTCTGTTGTATCTGTCCCAATGGAGCAGACCAGACATTGCCTTTGCTACCAACCTGCTAAGTAGGGAAGCGTCAAAGCCCAGTGTGAGTGCTTGGCACGGTATCAAGCGGGTACTGCGCTACCTGCAGCATACCAAAGACTTCTGTCTTAAGCTGCCAGCTGAAGGTGAGGCGAAGCTCACATGCTATGCGGACAGTGACTGGGCGAATTCGCAGGACCGCAAGTCTGTGTCTGGGTTGGTGATTAAGTTTGGGAAGTCACTGGTTGGGTGGAAGTCCCGGAAGCAAAGTCTCATTGCGCTGTCTTCTACTGAGGCTGAATTCAGTGCACTGTCAGATTTGTGCCGGGAACTAGAGTTCTATAGATGCTTGGTGCAAGAGATCTATGGGGATTGTAGCTTGCCCATCACGGTTTGGGAAGACAATCAGCCTTGTTTGAAGTTGGCTGAATCTGCGCAATTTAAGGCGAGAACCAAGCATCTGGACATACGTTTCCAAAATGTGTGTCAGAGTGTTCAGTCAGGTTTGATACGACTGAAGTACTGTGCCAGTCACAGTAACCTGGCCGATGGATTTACCAAACCTTTAAGCTTCCAGCGTCATGGGGAGTTTTGTGGTGGTTTGGAGTTGGGGGTAAGTTCTGTACTTACTGTCCCCACAGTAGCGCAGAGCGAGAGGGGGTGTGAGGAGAACCTGAGCTTACAGGGTTAAACAGCTCAGAGTGTACGCTCTGCCTACAAGTGGGAGGGGGGAACTCCTACGTCAGTTCCGAGAGACTCAAGTCTTTGTTCTGTCTCTCTACTTTCGCTTTTGAGGAGAGAGGACGTGTTTTCGCGATGCTGTTCGCTGTGATAGATAATGGATAGCCTGCTGTAAATAAAACTGCTTTTAGCTGCTAAGATCCAGTGTGGACTTTATTTAAGCACACTGAAGAAGGCACTGGAGTTTTGTTTTGGTTTCCTCTTACCGCTGACGAACTCTGCTATGCTCAGATGTCGGACCATTGGAATGCAGAGGCCCGTGATGGGGGAAGCGTGCCGGACCAGGCTTATCTGAGCAATAAATCAAGATATCTCAGAGACTGTGTCAACCACAGCAATCTATGGCAAGTTCTTAAAGAAATGGGAGTGCCTGATCACCTCATCTGTCTCCTGAGAAATCTCTATGTGGGACAAGAAGCTACAGTTAGAACTGGATATGGAACAACTAATTGGTACAAAATTGGGAAAGGTGTACGACAAGGCTGTATATTGTCTCCCTGCTTATTTAACTTATATGCAGAATTCATCATGTGAAAGGCTGGGCTGGTTGAATCCCAAGCCGGAATTAAGATTGCCGGAAGAAATATCAACAACCTCAGATATGCAGGTGACACAACCTTGATGGCAGAAAGTGAGAAGGAATTAAAGAACCTTTTAATGAGGGTGAAAGAGGAGGGCGCAAAATATGGTCTGAAGCTCAACATCAAAAAAGCTAAGATCATGGCCACTGGTCCCATCAACTCCTGGCAAATAGAAGGGGAAGAAATGGAAGCAGTGAGAGATTTTACTTTCTTGGGCTCCATGATCACTGCAGATGGTGACAGCAGTCACAAAATTAAAAGACGCCTGCTTCTTGGGAGAAAAGCAATGACAAACCTAGACAGCATCTTAAAAAGCAGAGACATCACCTTGCCAACAAAGGTCTGTATAGTTAAAGCGATGGCTTTCCCAGTAGTGATGTATGGAAGTGAGAGTTGGGCCATAAAGAAGGCTGGTCGCCGAAGAATGGATGCTTTTGAATTCTGGTGCTGGAGGAGACTCTTGAGAGTCCCATGGACTGCAAGAAGATCAAACCTATCCATTTTTAAGGAAATCAGCCCTGAGTGCTCACTGGAAGGACAGATCGTGAAGCTGAGGCTCCAATACTTTGGCCACCACATGAGAAGAGAAGACTCCCTGGAAAAGACCCTGATGTTGGGCAAGATGGAGGCCACAAGGAGAAGGGGACAACAGAGAATGAGATGGTTGGACAGTGTTCTCGAAGCTACCAGCATGAGTTTGACCAAACTGCGGGAGGCAGTGGAAGACAGGAGTGCCTGGCGTGCTCTGGTCCATGGGGTCACAAAGAGGCGGACACGACTAAATGACTAAACAACAACAACAAGTCCACTGAGAGTTCTGAGAGTTGTCAAGAGACCCCTATTCCTCTCACAAAGCTACAATTACCAGAGTGGTTCACCCCCTCTTCCCGTTAATTAAAACACAAGCCACTTTTTATTAATGGAAATGTTTATTTGATAATGATAATAGAATATTTATTTATTTAAATGCTCATATTCCTCAATCTCATGCCAAAGTGCCACAAGGCTGGGAGCGAGGGATCAGATTCCACTTCCTCTGGAAGAGAGTTCCAAGGTTTTGGAGCCAGCACTGGGAAGGCCCTGTCATGCCTTGTTCAGCAAGGAAACTGTGCCTCTGAAGCAGGTCTTCATCACTGGGTTGGTTTCCAGGGGAGAAGGGTACTTCTGGTATCCCCAGTTGTTGGATCAGCCTGGATTTGTGGCCAGAGTGTCAGACTGGGGCCTAGAGAGACACCTGTTCAACTCCCCCCTTGACCACAAAGTGCTCTGGGTGACTTTGGGCCAGTTGCTCTCTTTTGACCTTGTCTACCTTGCAGGGCTGTGGAAAGAATTAATCTTCTTCTTATTAAAATTTATATGCCATCCTGCACCTGAAGATCACAGGGCAGTTTACTACATGAAAATACAACATGAAAACACAAATTACATAGCATAATAGCAAAACAACACCACCCCTCCCCCACTATCACACTTAAAAGCCGTAGATGGCTTAATCAGCCAAAGCCCTAGTTGAAGAGGAATGTTTTTGCCTGGCTCCATGAAATGGGCGAGGTACTAACTTTGTAAACCACCTTCCACAACCTTCCATTTGCATGTCTGCTGTTTCCCTCTCAGATCTTGAAGAAAACACAGTCAAAACCTGTCCCACAGCTCATAGCTCAGGTTAATGCATGAGCGAATGCGACAGTGGTGAGTCTAAAGCATTGGCTTCAGCCCTTCAACCCTGAGGGCTTCCACCTGTGGTCCAGCATCACTGTGTTGCTGGCCAGGCCTCATGGGCCCTGGAGCCTTTTCTCAGTGCCCCCAAGTGTTTCCTGGGTGAGTCTGTGGGGAAGTTGATTTCTGGGAGAATTTGGGGTGGTACAGGTTGCAGGGGGTTGGACTTGAAGATCCATGCGGTCCCTTCCAGCTTCACAGTTCTGTAATTTCTGTAAGAAGCTGCCAGACCCCAGAGCCATCTAGCTGAGCAGGATGATTTCTGGCAGGGGCCATTCGTAGCTCTACCTGGAGCTGCCGATGGGGAGTGGGATTGAATCTGGAACCTTCCTCACTCAAAGCCAATGCTCTTCCACTGAGCCACAGCTCTGGGGACACGTGACAAGTGTCTAGCCCTGTCTCAGGAGACCCACGGTGGGCAAAGCTTCTTAAAGTCTGGTTGTGGGGCACAGACATCTATTGGCACATCTTCTCATCTCAGCTCTCCACATTGCCCCTCTGTCCCCACCTCCCCACTCCCGAATTTATGGCTTCCCTACACACTTTCCCCTAAAGTGCCTTCAGCTTGTGCCCTGCTCCCAACCCAGAGTTCCCATATAACAGATTTTGGAACAACTGCTACTAAAAATACTTCAAAAATGGTTTTGTGCAGATCAGACACATCTGGGTGGATTTTTCCAAAAGGGGAGGCACACACACCCCTTCACCCACCCTGCCCCCATTTAGTCCCCCTTCTCTAACCTGGGGGTCTTGTTTCTGGCTACAGATTCCCGAGAGTATCTTCCAGGCAGAAGCCCAAGGCGTGGACCTTTCAGTAGCCGCTGGTTACCTAGGGGTGGTGGAGACGGTCCTGACGGACGCTGAGCCGACATCTCTGGATGCAGCTGCTCTTCTGGGCATCTTGCAACTGCTGAAGGAGGTCTCAGACATGGATGCCAACGAGCCGGAGGAACTGGCAACGCTGGAGCAGCTGGGGCAGCACTACGTGGCAATTGCCGGGGCAATCCTGGAGGAGCAGAACGCTGAGGAGTGGTCCAAAATAAAGCCGGTAAAATCATGGCTTCCTAGAAGTAAGGGGCGGGTGGGGGGGCGGGTCTGGTGAGCCCCAATGTTTGAGGCAGGAAATCCAGAAAGCTAAAGCAGTCCTGATGGTCCACCATCCCTTTCCGTCCTTGAGAGTATGTGGCCAGACCAGGACCCATGGGAGACCCTAGGGCCATGAAGCTGACAGAGGTGACCTTGGAAGGCAATGCAGGCCTCTTAATCCCACTGACCTCACAGGGCAGTTGTTCGGAGGTTAAACACGGAGGGGATACCTTGAGCTCCTTGGAGGTTTTTTTGGCGGGGCGGGGGGAGGTGAGATAGAAACACAATAAATAAAGAAACACTACATGGTTGTCCGGCCTCTGCTGGAAGATTTTCAGGAAGGTAGAAATATATAAGGAAATAAATATCCCTGGGTACACACCTTAATTAAATGAGTTGCATCACACCTATGCTCACAGCAGTTAGACTTCTGGCAAAAATCTAAGTTATCAATCCCACTGTCTGCTGTGGCAGAATTTTACGCAACTAAATATGTACTTTATTACATGATTTACTACATTATTCCACAACATCCATTTCAATGCAAAGGAAACACAATTCGGTTTGGAAGGGCAGTTCATAGAATCAAAGGACTGCAGAGTTGGAAGGGATCCTCAGGGTCATCTAGTCCAAACCCCTGCAATGCAGGAATCCCAATTGGTTCCATATCATTGGCAAGCTGAACACAACAAAGGTGAAGACCAATCATATTCATTGATTTCTGTTCCAGACATGGGGCAAATAAGCAAACTCTGCTTCCGTTTCCATCAGGATTATCTGATGTCTCATAACACCTCCCTCTGTGTGACTGGCTCCATTGTCAAACTCTCCCTACTATCAAGAAGCTTCCCTAATCTTTGACCAAAATCTACCCTCCAGTAACTTAAGCAGCAGAGAGGTCATAGAATCATACAGTTGAAAGGGACCCCAAGGGCCATTTCTGTTCCAACCCCCTGCAATGTATTAAGCAGCCTTTGCTCTCTTCAATGGGGCAGCCCCTCAGAGATGCTATTATGTGCTGCCCCCCCAGTCTGCAGGAGGAGGGCCAGGGAAACCCTTGGGCAACGTCGGATGATGATGATGATAAGGTTTGGGCAGCTGCTCCTGTGCTCCTCAGATCCTTGATGGACCCATGACAGTTGTGGAAAACATGGACAAGATGGTTTCCAGCCTCCATCAGCTCCTGAGTACAGAGAGGCCAAAGTCACCATCTGGTGTAAGAATGTTGGTGAGTAGCAGCAAGGCTCTGGGGTGCGAGGGGGAGGAAGAGCCTGGGGAATTGTTAAAGCAAATTTGATGCCAGAAATTCAGTAGGGAAGGAATTGAAAGTAAAACTGCAAATATCCTAATGCTGTTACACAAATTTGTGGTGCATCTCCCACAGTACTGTGTAGAGTACTCACCTCAAAAAGGATATTGCAGGGCTGGAAAAGATTCAGAAAATGCAGCCAAAATGATCTGGGGGATGGAGGGGCTCCCCTATGAATGAAGGCTTGCAAAATTTGGGGCTTTTTAGCTTTGAGAATGTGGGAATGTTGTGGATAGAAGGAGAGGACAGATTGATTAAATATTGTCCTCCCTCCCTGACACTAATGAGTCAGTAGCACATTCCCCAGTATATAGCAGGAAGCTAGTTGGTACAGTGGTGCCTCGCAAGACGAAATTAATTCGTTCCGCGAGTTTTTTCGTCTAGCGAATTTTTCGTCTTGCGAAGCACGGTTTCCCATAGGAATGCATTGAAATTCAATTAATGCGTTCCTATGGTCAAAAAAAGTCCAAACAAAGCCAAATTTGGTACAACAAGAGTTTATTAACTGCTCTTTAAAGTCACACATACTTTAAAGAGCATATCAAAAATTGAAGGAACAATAAATTAAGTTTCTAAACATGACAGGAAAAACATTTAAAAATCAAAAAGGGTACATTACATTTTCTAAGACTCTGGGGGACCACTCGAAGAAGGTTCCTCTTCCACTCTTTGCTTCTTGCTGAGGAACCTGTCCATGGTCTGCTGCTTCATCCGCCTTTTCAGCAGCTCCCTGAGAGGCAACATGACCGTCGTATCAAAAATGTTCGCTTGGTCATGTGCCACGTGCTTGTCAGGGTGGTGCCGCTCTGCAAAAGCCTGCACCTCCTTCCACTTCTGGCAAATGTCCCTCAGTTCTTTGGAGGACAGCCGTTCCTCAGTTGCTTCCTCCTCTTCCAGCGAGGCCTGCTCCTGCGCAACCTCTGACTGCAGTTCAACCAGCTCCTGGGTGGTCAGCTCGTGGTCGTGCTCCTCCACCAGCTCGCAGACGTCCTCCTCTGTGACCTCCAGGCCCATGGTCCTCCCCAAGGCAACAATGTCCTGCACCACTGTCGACTCTGGTGCATCAGAGTCACTTGGTGCCACACAGTCCGGCCACAGGCTGCGCCAAGCGCAATTCAAATTTCTCTGGCTGATTCCCTTCCAGGCCGTGGTGATCATCTTCAAGCAGGTGACGATGTCGAAGTGGTCCTTCCAGAATTCCCGCAGGGTGATGGTGGTGCAATCAGTCACCTCGAAGCATCGCCTGAAAAGCTCCTTGGTGTAGAGTTTCTTGAAATTGGCGATGACCTGCTGATCCATCGGCTGGAGCAGTGGCGTGGTGTTAGGCGGCAGGAACATGATGTTGATGAAGCTGAACTCCTCCAACAAGTCCACCTCAAGGCCTTTAGGATGAGCAGGAGCATTGTCCATCAGAAGCAAAGCCTTCAGCGGCAGGTCGTTGTCCAGCAGGTACTGTTTGACAGCAGGGCCAAAGGCAAGATTGACCCAGTCCACAAACAGCACACGTGTGACCCAAGCCTTGCTGTTGGATCGCCACATGACACTCAGCCGCTCCTTGTCGACCTTGTGTTTCTTGAAGGCCCGTGGGTTCTCCGAGTGGTACACCAGCAGGGGCTTGATCTTCAGGTCGCCGCTTGCGTTGGCACAGAAGAGCAGGGTCAGACGGTCCTTCATGGGCTTGTGGCCAGGCAACTTGGCCTCCTCCTGTGTGAGGAAAGTCCTTTTGGGCATCCTCTTCCAAAACAGCCCGGTCTCGTCGCAGTTGAAGACCTGCTGTGGAACGTAGCCCTCCGTCTTCACAACCTCCAGGAACTCCAAGGCAAAGTCTTCAGCCGCAGGAACATCAGAACTGGCAGCCTCTCCATGCCTGACCACGCTGTGGATTCCGGATCTTGCCTTGAACCGGTCAAACCAGCCTCTGCTTGCCTTGAAGACTTCTGGCTCGGCCGAGGTTCCTGGCTGTTCCCGGATGAGGTCTGCGTGCAAGGCCTTGGCCTTCTCACAAATCACGGCCTCAGTCACTGTGTCCCCTGCACGCTGCTTCTCTTCTAACCAGATGAGCAGCAACTTCTCGACCTCCTCCAGAACAGCTGGGCGGTTCTTCACGATCCTGGTGACTCCCTTGGCTGCATCAGTCGCAAGGATCTTCTCCCTCATCTTCAGGATGGTCCCGATGGTCGATGGGTTCCTGCCGTACTCCCTGGCGAGGTCCGTCACACGCATTCCACCGTCGTGCTTCCGGATGATCTCCTTCTTCATCTCCAGCGTCACCTTCTTCTTCTTCCTCTCGCCGGCCTCCGCAGCAGCAGCAGTCTTCTTGGGTCCCATGGCAGCACAGCTGTTACCTTTGTAAACTCAGAAAAAATAAATAAATCAGCAATTCAAACCCAGAACCAAGTCTTTGAATTCCAAACACCCAACCCAAAATCCAAAAACCCCAAAAAAAGTTTTAAAAGTTTAACTTACGAAATGGCTGCAAATCACCAAAGTCTTCAAAATCCTCAAATGGCTGCAAAAGAAGTTTTGGGAAAGCTTTAAAAATCACCAAAGTCTTCAAAAACCTCAACTGTTCCCCCAGCCCCTCCCCAACTGTTGCAAACCCCTCCCCAACTGTTGCAAACCCCTCCTCAACTGTTACCCCAGCCACCCAGCACACAGAAATTAAAAACCCAGAAAATTTTTAAAAAAAAAACAACATGGCCCAATGGTCACAGAAAACCATAAAAATTCAAAAAAAAGCACACAATCTCCCAGATTCCTGCAAACCCCTCCCCAGCTGTTCCCCCAGCCACCCAGCACACAGAAATTCAAAACCCAGAAAATTTTTTCAAAAAACAACAACATGGCCCAATGGTCACAGAAAATCATAAAAATTCAAAAAAAAGCACACAAGCTCCCAGATTCTTGCAAACCCCTCCCCAGCTGTTCCCCCAGCCACCCAGCACACAGAAATTCAAAACCCAGAAAATTTTTCAAAAAAAAACAACATGGCCCAATGGTTACAGAAAACCATAAAAATTCAAAAAAAAGCACACAATCTCCCAGATTCCTGCAAACCCCTCCACAGCTGTTCCCCCAGCCACCCAGCACACAAAAATTCAAAACCCAGAAAATTTTTTCAAAAAACAACAACATGGCCCAATGGTCACAGAAAATCATAAAAATTCAAAAAAAAGCACACAAGCTCCCAGATTCTTGCAAACCCCTCCCCAGCTGTTCCCCCAGCCACCCAGCACACAGAAATTTAAAACCCAGAAATTTTTTTCAAAAAAAAACAACATGGCCCAATGGTCACAGAAAACCATAAAAATTCAAAAAAAAGCACACAAGCTCCCAGATTCTTGCAAACCCCTCCCCAGCTGTTCCCCCAGCCACCCAGCACACAGAAATTTAAAACCCAGAAATTTTTTTCAAAAAAAACAACATGGCCCAATGGTCACAAAAAATCATAAAAATTAAAAAAAAACCACACAAGCTCCCAGATTCCTGCAAACCCCTCCCCAGCTGTTCCCCCAGCCACCCAGCACACAGAAATTTAAAACCCAGAAATTTTTTTCAAAAAAAACAACATGGCCCAATGGTCACAGAAAACCATAAAAATTCAAAAAAAACCACACAAGCTCCCAGATTCTTGCAAACCCCTCCCCAGCTGTTCCCCCATCCACCCAGCACACAGAAATTCAGAAATTCAAAACCCAGATATTTTTTTTTAAAAAAAATAAACATGGCCCAATGGTCACAGAAAATCATAAAAATGCAGAAAAAAGACACACAAGCTCCCAGATTCTTGCAAACCCCTCCCCAGCTGTTCCCCCATCCACCCAGCACACAGAAATTCAAAAATTCAAAGCCAGATTTATTAAAAAAATAAAATAAACATGGCCCAATGGTCACAGAAAATCATAAAAATGCAGAAAAAAACCACACAAGCTCCCAGATTCTTGCAAACCCCTCCCCAACACCAAGTCCTTGAAGTCTAAACACCCCAACCCAAAATCCAAAAACCCAAAAAGTTTCAAAAGTTTAACTTACCAAACAGCTACAGAAGAAGTTTTGGAAAAGCTTCAAAAATCCAGCAAACTCTTTAAAAAGCTCAGAAAGGCCACCACACCGCGTGCAATGTGTTGCTCCTCGAGGTCAAGTCGCAACTGCACCTCTTCCAGCAATGCACCCTGGGTTTTAACGGTTTTACGAAAAGGAAACAAACTTGCAAGACGTTTTCGTCTTGCGAAGCAAGCCCATAGGGACATTCGTCTTGCGAAGCAACTCGAAAACGAAAAAACCTTTCGTCTTGCGAGTTTTTCGTCTTGCGAGGCGTTCGTCTTGCGGGGCACCACTGTAGATTCGTTTGAATCTCTTTACTTCAGCAAACCAGGGTTTGATCCTGGTAAATTCCCCTTTTATCCCTCTTATCATTACTTTTAAAGAAGACACAACAGTCTTCTTTAAAAGTAATGATAAGAAGTTTACTTACATGCTGTTCACAGTAGGTTCCCTGAAGGCAGGCTTTTAGCTTGGAGTTACAGAAAAGAATGTGGGGATTTGAGCCCATGTGCTGCTGGCTGAGAGCCAGCAAACAGCAGAATACATCAAGAGAACAGCATCAAGAGAAAATGGTTAAGGACTTCCGGTCTGCTGCGGAGTGCTAAGTGTCGCCCGCAACACGGAGCCAGCAGAAAGGCTTGGAGGGCAGTGCTAGAGCTCAGCGCACCCCCAAAAAACCCCCCACAGGAGAGTGGGGACCTGAGGGCTCCAGCGGAGCGAAAAATCTCTCTCACACACACCCGATTGTCTCCCGGCCACTGCTGTGTGCATGGGAGGGAAGGCGAAGAGGCTCAAGTTTGCTCTCGGCACCAACACAGCCTGCTGCGAAAGCTACGATCCGTCACCAGAAGCAGCAGATCTTCCAATTAGAGGTAAAAGTCAAATAAAACATTTTGAATTTTGAATTAGAGCTAAAAAATTTAATTTGGTGAAATGGAAGCAAA